GGAGGGGAGAATAATAAATACAATTCGTTATTCGGCTGATTGAATTGAAGACGGCTGAATTGTGTACTTTGGGGCTTTCACCCCTTTTAAGAACAAATTTTCAGATTTAAAAAATGAGATCAAAGTACAACAACAAAATTTATTCGGCTCTATTCTCTCTAAATACTTTTATTATGATAGTCCGTCCGTCAATGTCTGACAATGAAAAATAATCTGCAAAGTAGAATATAATTTCTTAAGCGAAATAGGGGAAATTAAGGATTAAGATTACTCCTTGCTTCTGTTATGGCCAATGAGACTAATTCTAACACACAAAAGTTTGCCATATTTTGAGCGTTTAAAGGCTTTATATCCATTTGTAGAAGAGCTCAGTTTACGACAATGTCGTATCTTTGCGTCAGAATTTCTAACTCGTGAAGCCTCATAATTAGGAAATGTTGCACTCTATAATTGCTGATTTCCAGCTGCGTCTGTCAGGAATTAGGCTCTCTACGGCAATGGATTAATGTTGACGTCCAATATATTTTTAGGGTGATTTGTAACGGGTTTTTAAAACAAAATTATTTCGAGTGTGCTAACTTTACGTTTCTTTGATAACAGCTATGATTTCTAAGGAATAGAATTCTATCATTGGGTTCCCAAAAACCAGGCATTTTTAGATCATGGCCAGCCCATTTTAGTTTCTTTGAGAAACGTAGGCCACTTGCTAAAATTAAGAACCCCGCCGATACACACGACGGAATGGTATTTAGACAGTGTTAATCATTAATTATGTTTTCTGTGTCTGCGTTTATCCACGACAGATGTGTAGTTTGCACAATCACCTTATTTACTTGCCTGGTCGAGTTTGCAATCCAGTGATTCTATTTTTCTGAATAACATGCATATTTACTCATGATTTATCCGTGTATTAAGTTTGCGTTTTTCAAAAGCTATACGTTTTTTTACTTACATTACAACAAAGCTTAGCCTTTGGGATTAATTTACAAAACTCCTCCCCTTCCCTCCTCCCACCTTCCACCATACTTTTCTCTTTCTCTCCATTTTGCCCACCCAAGTAATACCTCTCCCCCCGCCTCCCTCT